CAGTCGGTTAAGCGACTGCCTTCGGCTCAGGTCATGATCCCAGGGTCCTGGGATCGAGTCCCGCATCGGGCTCCCTGCTCTGCGGAGAGCCTGCTTCTCCCTCTCCCACTCCCCCTGCTTGTGTTCCCTCTCTCGCTGTCTCTCTCTGTCAAATAAATAAATAAAATCTTTAAAAATAAAATAAAATAAAAAATGCCAAGGATTGCTGGCAACCACCAGAAGCTAGGAAGGGCCAAGGAAGGATCCTCCCCTAAAACCTTCAGAGAGACCATGGCTCTGCCAACAGCTTCATTTCAGACTTCTAGCGTCCAGAAATGGGAGACAATTTCTGTTGCTTTGAGCCACCTAGTTGGCGGTACTTTGTGACAGCAGCCCTAGCAAATAAATACACTGGCATGTCACAGGCTTCTGGACAGGACCTGGCACAGAGCGGGAGCTCAGGAAATGAAATGCGTGGGAAGGAACATCTGGACTTTTTTTTTTTTTAAAGATTTATTTATTTATTTTGAGAGAGCGAGAATGAGAGAGAGAGAGTACATGAGTGGGGGAGGGTCAGAGGGAGAAGCAGGCTCCTCGCTGAGCAGGGAGCCCGATGCGGGACTCGATCCCGGGACTCCGGGATCATGACCTGAGCCGAAGGCAGTCGCTTAACCGACTGAGCCACCCAGGCGCCCCAACATCTGGACTTTTTAATTCCCTACAACTGACCTCTCTGTGGCCTCAGGCACCTGTTGATAACCACCCTCCCCAGACATACGCACTTCCTGATACTCTCGCCTCCCGTTTTCCACATCGCCAGGTTCCAATTATTTTGTCTGCTTTTTAAATGTCAATGTTCCCCAGGATTATATCTTCAGTCCTCTCTCTTCTTGCTCCACATTCCATGCTATGTTAGCCCTTCCCAGGTTTCAATTCCTTACCTCAACCAAGGACTCCCAAATCTCAAACAGATCCAACCATGTCACTCCCCTGCTTAAAAGAGAGAGATGGCGCTTGCCGGCAGGTACGGTCCAAACTTGCCTACTTCAGCATTTTACTCTGTCCCCGCCTCAGGATGCACGAACCCCTTCCTGTAAAGTCACCTGGGCTACAGTCACCAAGGACCATTCCGAGTTCCCAAGCACACCGTAAGTGCTCCTTTCAATGCTTCCATATTCCCTCCACCGGGATGCTCCTCAGCCCCCTCATCTCCTTGCTGAAATCCTAGTTCGAGGCCAAACACAAATGCCATCATCTTTTGGTGCCTTTCCTGACCACCTTTCAGGAGAATGACCCGCTCCCAGCCGTTTTCCCATAGCTTTTGGCTCACAGCTTTAGGCATTTTATCCTATCACAACAGGTGGCCCGCTCCCCCACTGAGCTGTGGGCTCTGCAATGGGAAGGGCAGTACCTTATTCATCTCCACAGAGCCAGTCCCCAGCTTGGTGCCTGGCACATGGCACACTCCGAGACATCACAGGTTGAATGAACTCATTCTACTTGCAAAAAAACCAAATTACAGCTATCAAATAGCACATTAGCACATCTCAGCAGCATTTCAACAAAGCACAGCAAAGGTACTGCTGCATTAACAGAAGTTAGAGAGCTCACACAAATGTCAAAGTGTTGGGCCCATAAGAACCACCTGTTTAGCACTAGATGGGGTACTCACATTCCTCAGAACCAGACCGAAACACAAGAAGGAAAGCCTAGCATCAACCTCTTACCTCCGAAGATACATGGTCTCCTCGTCTTCCGTGTTACAAAACTTGTGGGCGTGTTTGGCAGCATCAATCACACGGGACCGATCCCGGGGCCTCATGGGCAATTTCTCTAACTGACAGTCTGAAGAAATGGAGTAAGATTCGGTCACCAGAGCCACTGAAAGGTACCCTGGGGCAATCACAAGTGTTCAGTGGGGCCCTTAGCACTATAATATTTTACTATAATTACTAAGGCTTATGGAAGCCTATTATTGAATTTCCCAACTGAAAATGACATGGTGTCAGAAGATCTGGAGCTCTGTTACCATCGTGGCGATCTTTGGCAAGTTACTTCCTTTTGTTTTTTTTTTTTTCTTTCCTTATTTGAAGGATAAGTAGATGACAATATCTCAAAAGTCCCTCCCAGCATGGCAAGTTTGCTGTGTTTCTGTGATCACAGTACACTTGGTTTGCATTCTAATGCATGAGAATCAGATGAGACAATCAAGCGTCCTGAAATGCCTATGAGGAGGGCATTGGGAAAAGTGGTTAAGCGCTTAGAAAAAGAGAGAGAGGGTCGGTGCTATGCTACATGTGGCGAGGAGTGTCAGTCTGAAAGCAATGAAAACATACAGGAAATAAATGAGGTGCAGTTAAAAAGCAGACGGAAATTGATATAATGCAAATGAAGTACCTAAAGGGTCACAGAGAAGTCAAGTGATCACAGTGATTTGAGATTAATGGAGGAAGGGGCGGGGGAGTTAGCACCAGGCAGTCTGCATGTTCATTAATCTTCACAATGACCTGCTGGAGTAGACATTTTGTATTCCTAGTTTAGAAATGAGGGAACTGAGGCTTACAAAAGGCAAGAGACTTGCCACACATTTACTAAGAGGGAGAACAAGAATTCAGACTCAACTCTAGGTGATTAAGAGCGAACTCATTTATACAACAGATTCGAGGGCTCTCTACGTACCAGGCGCAGTTCAAACACAGTGCTGGGGATTCGGCAAAGGACAAAGCAGAGTCCCTGCCCTGATGAAGTTTACATTCTAGTGGAAGAGGCAGAAAATTTAAAAATAAGAATTATATAACATGACCTTGGATAATGATAAGTGCTAATAAAAAAAATTAGCAGGATATTAAGAGGATGGACAGTGATCTCAGATAGTGACAAGGGCTACCAAGAAAAATCAGGCAGGGTAAGAGGACAAAGTGTAATAAGGGTGCCATTTTAGATAGTCAGGGAAGAGTTTTCTAAGGAAGGGATATTTCAGCAGAGACCTGGATGAAATAAGAAAGCACCAAGGGAAGAGGGTTCGAGGCAGGAAAAAACAGCAACCCCAAAGACCCTGGGGGCAAAACATTTTGACATGATGACGAAAAATCAAGAAGGCTACTGCAGCTGGAGCGCAGTGAGCCAAGGGAAGAGTGTTAGGAGACGAAGTCCAAGAGGTAGCTGAGGATCTGAACATGCAGGGTCTAGGTACGGACTTTGGTTTTACTCTCAGTTTTACAGGAAAACACCAGTTTGGAACAGGACTCTGGTTGCTGTGCAGAAAACAGACCACTGGAGACAAGGAGTGGAGAGTAAGAGGCTGTGGCAATTCCAGGTGAGGGATGATGGTGGCTTGGACTAGAGCGGCAGAAATGGAAGTGGTAAGAAGTAGTCAGATTCTGGAAAGATTTTTAAGTACTGGCAGGATGTGTTGATGGACTGGATGGGTGTAAGGTAAGGGAAAGAAAAGTCAAGCCTGATTCTGAGATTCTGGGTGACTAGTGCTACCACTGACTCTGCACTAGGGTGGAACAGTGGCGAGCAGTAAGTACGGGATCATGAAGTCGATTTGAACACGACTGTTTTTGAGAGACCCATCAGACATCCAAGTGGAGACAGGGAATAAGCAGCTGGAGTGTGAAGGGAAATGTAGGTTAAAGATGAACATTTGGGAGGCATCAGCATGCAAATGGTATCTAAAGCTTGGGAATGGCTGTGGTCACTTAGGGAGTGAGTACAAATTGAGAATAGGTGAGAGGACTGAGCCCTAGGGGCTTGCGGTGCCTAAAAATCGGAGTCAGAGAAGGAGCCAGACACTGAGGAGGGGCAAAATCAAGGTAGGAGGAAAATCGGGACATTGTGGAGTCTTGGAAGCAAATGAAAAAAAAAAAACTGTTTTAAAAAGGATGGAATCATCATCTCTGTCAAATGACACAGATGAGGATTAAAATGAGCACTGATAATCGACCACGGGGACTACTAACAGGTTCAGTTATTGACCTTGAAGGTGAGGTGGGAAGAGAAGTCTGCCCGAAGTGAGGTCAACAGGCAATGTGAAGTGAGGATGCAGCGACAGGCAATATAGGCAACTCTTTTTAGAAGTTCTGCTAAAAAGGAAGCAAAGAAATGGGGTTACAGCTGAAAGAGAACGTAGGATCAAGGGAACTAGTTTTATTCTCGTTTAAGAGCTATGACAGCATCCTAGTACGCAGCAAAAAGGTTACAAAGTTTCTAGAGGCGGAGTGGGAGGAAAGGGAGATAAACAGTCTATTTTTTTCTGAAGGAGTAATTTAGTTTTGAGGGAAGCCTGGATACACTCAAGGTTAAACAGAAAAGCTGCCCTGGAGTGGGGCAGGGAAGCATCAGCATGGAGCAGGAAAGCCCACCAATCTTCCAAGAGACGCGCCTCCCAGATCACAGCCAGAGAAAATCTGCCCTCGAGAACCCGAAGTTTCGCTTCTCGCAGACGCCCTCCAGTTCCCGAAGATCACATCCAGAGAATATCCGCCCTCGAGAACCCGAAGTTTCGCCTCTTGCAGACGCCCTCCGGTTCCCGACTACTTACCCAGCACCAGGACCATCTGGCCACACAAACAGTAGTAGACGTGGAGGGGCTTCTCGCCGTCGTCATACTCCTCCCGATCCCGGGTGTCGGAGCAGACTACCGACCGGGACACTACTTTCGGCATCGTTCGCGGGAGCAGCCCGAAAACGCTCTGCCAAAACTAAGGGTCGCGCAGAAATGACGTCACAGACGGGCGTCGAGCCTTTTCCCAGCCGCAACGCTGGTCACGTGTCAGTAGCGTTCCTGTGGACTTCCGGGCCGGACCATTAGGCCCGGATGCGCGGGGGCGTCCTGAGCCTTCAGGACTTCGTTTGCCTCGGCCTGAGTTAGGTGCAACTGCTTTACTTGGGACACTCTTAATACTATTTAAATTATTCATGTATATTTCTGTACACGTATGTATATGCAGATACAATAAAACCAGATATAACAAAGAACTATATTTACACGTTATAGGCATAATACAGGTTTTAGGTGTGCCTCTAAAGAGGATTCTGATTTTAATGGCTGTATTCAGGATGAGTACCTAATGAAGTAGAGGTATCTTTTTTAACTTGAGATATAATTCATATGACATAAAATTCACCCTTAAAAAGTGTATTATGTGGTGGTTTTTAGTATATTCACAAAGTTGTGCAACCAGCACCACTATCTAATTCCAGAACATTTTCATCGTCCCATATAATTAGCAGTCACTCCCCACTTCTTCCCAGCACCTGGCAACCACGAAGCTACTTTCTGTCCCTAGGGATTTGCCTCTTCTGGACATTTCATATGAAAGGAAGTAAACAGCGTGTGGCTGTTGGTGTCTGGCTTCTCCACGTAATGTTTTCAAGGTTCATCCATGTTTTAGCATGAACGGGTAAAAATAGGAATGAATCCGTAAAAAGGAACTTCATTCTTTTTCATGGCTGAATATCCTGTTTATGGCTATCCCACCTTCTGTTTATTCATGAGTTAGTGGACATTTGGGTTTTTCCCACTTTTTGGATATAATGATTAATGCTACTGTGAACATCGGTGTACAAGTTTTTGTGAGAACATATGTTTTTAGTTCTCTTCGTTGTATACTTAGGAGTGGAATTGTTGGGTTATATGGTGACTTTATGTTTCACCTTTTGAGGAACTGCCAAGAGTGTTTTCCAAAGCAATTTTACCATTTTACATCCCCATCAGACTATATATGGAGGAGGGGTCTGATTCCTTCAAATCCTCACCAATAATTATTTTTGTCTGTCTTTTTGATCATAACCATCTCGGTGGGTGTGAAGTGGTATCTCACTGTGGTTTTGATTTTCCTTTCCCTGGTGGCTAATGTTGAGCACCTTTTCACGTGCTGACTGGTTATTTATGTATCTTCTTTGGAAGATACTGAAACTGAACATACTGAAACTCTGCCAGGACCCTCTTTGTGGAGGACAAGAGCCTGGAGCAATCCAGAATAAGGACACTGAGACAGTTTACATTGGCTAACTTCAAAAATCCAAATGAAGACACCAAAATAGTGGATTTTTAACAGAGAACTTAGTGAAGGCCGTAGGAGCTTGTGTCTAGAAATTGACAGTTTGGCTGCAGGAAGTGTAGTGTTCAAGACACACAGGATGTAAACCAAGAGGAATTTAAAGCCATCTGCTAGACCTCAAATGAACATGAATTAAATAAAATATGCAAGAAATGTGGTGTATATATATACAATGGAATATGACTCAAGCATAAAAAAGGAGATCTTGTCATTTGCAACAGCATGCATGGACCTGGAGGGTATGATGCTAAGTGAAATAAGTCAGACAAAGAAAGACAAATACCATATGATTTCACTTATATGTGGAATTGAAAATACAAAACAAAGAAAAAGCAGAACAGACTTCTAAATACAGAGAACAAACAGTTGCCAGATGGAAGGGGGTGGAAGAATAGGCAAAATGGGTGAAGGGGAGAAGGAGATACAGACTTCCAGTTACGGAATGAAGGAGTCGTGGAAATAAAAGGTACAGCATAAGGAATATAGTCAATGGCATTGTGTTAGTATTTCATGATAAAGGATGGGAGCTACACTTGTGGTGAGCATAGCATAATGTATAGAGTAGTTGAATCACTATGTTGTACACTTTAAACTAATGTAATATCGTGTGTCAAATATAATCAGATTTTAAAAAATCAATTCAAATCTTAAGGAATCAGTGTTCCTTAGATCTTACTCAAATGTCATCTCTATGATTTCATGTTATTCAGTATTTATTGATCTTCTACTGTGTATTAGGCACCGCACTATATACTAGTTGTGTAATGATCAATTATAAATAATCTCACCCCCTGATGTGTCTTAGTCTGGTGCAGGGGTGAGGAAACTTTTTCTGTAAAGGGCTAGAGAGTAAATATTTTAGGCTTTGAGGGCCAAGAAGCAAAATCAAGAAAATTATGTAGACCTATATAACAAGAGAGAAAACAAATTTCCACAAGTGTTTTATTGATGAAATTCAAAATATAATAGTAATTATATTTTTGTAATATAGGTCTGCTAATGAGAAGAATAGCATTCTTTTATGGAGGGGGACAATATTTCACTTAATTAGGGTTCAAAATGAGTGTTCTCTACCATCAGAATCATTTGCAATCTCAATACACCTTTACAGGTTTTTAAATTGCTTCATATCTGGTCAAACTGAAATTCTCAAGAACCTCATTTTTCATTTGTAATACAAGTTTACAACTTTTTTCAAGAGTCAACAAAATGAAAGCACCTGTTAATAAAAGTCTCTTTTAAAAGATTTATTTATTTATTTTTAGAGGGGTGGGAGGGGCAGAGGGAGAGGGAGAGAGAGTCTTAAGCAGGCTCTGTGCTGAGCGCGGAACCCAGCACAGGGCTTGATGTCATCACACTGAGATCATGACCTGAACCGAAACTAAGAGTCAGACGCTTAACTGGCTGCGCCACCAGCACCTGTTAATAAAGGTCTTCATGAAATAAATCAGTTGCAAATACTCATCTGTTAATACTTACCTGTAATGAGATTTTACATATTTCATCTTTGAAAAATTTTTTTAACACGGCTAAGTACTGCCAAACACTGATACCAAATACCCGATTTTAATTGAGCATATTTATCTTTTAGAAGGCATTTTTGAAATTCAGTTAGATTCTTCTCTTGGTATTTGCCTTTTAGCATGTCATTGCGTACAGAATAATCACTTCCAATTAAAATTTAGGTGGAAGCTCCTGCAATGCACAGTGAAACTGATTTGTTTAAAAGATTTGATTCATTTATTTGACAGAGAGGGAGAGTGGGGGGAGCACAAGCAGGGGGAGTGGGAGTGGAAGAGAGAGAGAAGCGGGCTCCCGGTCTAGCCGGGAGCCCGATTCCGGGGCTCGATCCCAGGACCCTGGGATCATGACCTGAGCCGAAAGCAGACGCTTAACTGACTGAACCACCCCGGCGCCCCCAGTGAAATTGATTTTTATTTTATTTTATTTTTTTTTTTTTAAGATTTATTTATTTATTTGAGAGAGCGAGAATGAGAGAGAGTACATGAGAGGGGGGAGGTCAGAGGGAGAAGCAGGCTCCCCGCTGAGCAGGGAGCCCGGTGCGGGACTCGATCCAGGGACTCCAGGATCATGACCTGAGCCGAAGGCAGTCGCTTAACCAACTGAGCCACCCAGGCGCCCCTGAAATTGATTTTTAAATATAGAAATTTCCTTTGCATTTTGCATTAAGTTCAAAAAAACACCACTGGAATTGTAATTTGAGCCCAGAAAAGATATTCATTGCAAATTGGTGTGGGAATGCAAATCTTGATTTTTGTTTTCATTTTTGACAGCACAGGAAGAGATTAAAGTAATGACATTACTTGCAATTCAAACAATGTTAGTTGTCATTGAAATGACTTTACTGAAATGTAAGTTTCACATATAAGCAGTGTTTTCCCTTGTAATTTTAGTTTAAATGCATTAAGTAACGTTAAGTCTACAGCAAAAGTTAATTTAAAAAACCATCCAGCGTTCAACAATAGTGGTTGCAGGTGGTTCTTCTCATTCAGAAAACTTTCAATCTCAGCCCCAAGCTCAAAAAAAATTTTTTTTAACTCGGAAAAACTTCGCCACTGCTAAGCTATTGAACTGCTGTTGGTTGGGCAAGTCAAAATCTTCGGCTTCTATTTCTGACAAAAATTTATGTAACTGACAGCGGTTTAGTCCATGAGTAAATGAAGTGTTGACACTAATAGTTGAAATACACAAGATAGACTCAAATATGTTCCTGCAAAATACCTGCAGATTAATAATACAATGAATAACCAGAGGATTTAAACAACTCACATTCTCACAAGCTTTTTACAATTGTCCAACTAAGCTTTGTTCTGCTCCATACGTATTTGTAACACATCTTAGCAGAGTCTACTTCAGGTTGTACTGAATTAGTATTTTCTTGACTTCTTTGAGAATTTTCTCATCTGGGGCACCTGGGTGGTTCGGTCCGTTGAGCGTCTGCCTTCGGCTCAGGTCATGATCCCAGAATCCTAGGATCGAGTCCTACCTCAGGCTCCCTGGTCAGTGGGGAGTCAGTTTCTCCCCCTACTCATGTGCTCTCTCTCAATTTCACTCACTCTCTTTCTCTCCCCTCTCAAATAAATAAATAAGGGTTAGGGTTAGAAGATTTTATTTATGTATTTGAGAAGGGGAGAGAAAGAGAGAGAGAAAGCATGAGCGGGAGGAGGTGCAGAGGGAGAGGAAGAAGCAGACTTCCCGCTGAGCAGGGAGCCAGACATGGAGCTCGATCCCAGGACGCTGAGATCATGACCTGAGCCGAAGACAGACACTTAACGGACTGAGCCACCCAGGTGCTCCAAATAAATAAAATCTTAAAAAAAAAAAAGAAAATATTCTCATCTGAGTTATTCCACACAGGCCAACTCAGCATTGGCTCTTTGAGTAAAGTACAACTGAGCAGTATTGGTAACATCTGTCACCTCATTGAGAGCCGAGGAAAATCACTTGAAATCATTTTCCCTGTTTTTTTTTTTTTTTAAAGATTATTTATTTATTTGAGAAGGGAGGGAGGGGCAGAGAGAAACTTAAGCAGACTCCGCGCTGAGCACAGAGCCAGACGCGGGCCTTGATCTCACCATCCTGAGATCAGGGCCTGAGCTGAAACCGAGAGTCAGTCAGCTCAACCGACTGCGCCACCCAGGTGCCCCTGCCCTGTTTTTTTTAATGACTGTTGGTG